AAATCAGGTCGACTCCCACCACGTGATTCATGCAGTAAGACTTCGGAATGGCTCCGACCCCCCTGGGCTTGGGGCGGGTTCTTGCCTTGCACACGTCGCCCTCGAGCTGAGTCTTGGCTCACCCTTCCCAGCCGCAAGGCCCGACAAAAGTCTGCCTTGCTCGGGTGCGCCCATTTCTCGTGCAGCTCCCTGATCAGCTTCTTCTCGGTCTCGTTGGGCTCTGGCAGGTGTACCTCCTCGTCCTCCTCTGGCGGATCCTCCTCGGGCGCCTCTTGGTCCTCGTCGTCGCCAAGCGGATCCTCCTCCTCGCCTTCGCCAATCTCATCCTCGGCGCCGAACACCTCCGCCCCACCGTTGGCCCTTTCTTGATCTTCACGAAGTTGTCGACTTAGCCCCTTCGCGATGGCATTGCACAGGCCGATCGGGTACCGCTCGGCGTAGTGGGCTTTTCCGTTGATGAGGATTTCGTGCTCGTGATCTCCCCTGCATCTCTTCTCGAGCTCCGCAGCGATGTACGGCGAGTTAGTGACGAATGTCGTCGGTTTCTTCCAATACTTGTCGGACTGCCCCTTCAAGCCGAACCTGGTTTGGTCGGCGAAGACCACGCAGACTCCCTCCAGCTTCATGAGAGCGATCAGCTCCGGCTCCTTGAAGCTCTTGGCCGTCCGCGGATGCTCGAAAAGAAAGTATCGGCCTCTCTGGTGTCTCTCCGTTAGGACCTTCACCGTGAACCTCAGGTGGTTGAGCCCGCTGCTGAGGTGCGCCCTTGCCTTCTTGGGGTCCATGCGTTGGTAATTCCACTCCATGAGCGCACTTACCGGTCCACACGGCGGCGTTCCCACGGTCAAGTCAGGGTCCCTCATGCGAATGTCAGCCAGGCACGACGCTCGGTCCTGGGCCCGGTCAAAGTTCCAGCCCAGCTTGAGGTCATAAGCGATTCCCCCTCCCTCATGCCTCTTCCTCAAGGCCTCCGAGACCCTGGGCATGGAGTACACCTCGGCCGCCTCGATGTCCTGGACCCTCCTCAAGTCGTTCAACACCTTGTGGGGAATGTCCTGCTTCTGCTCGTCCAGAAACGTGAAGTTGTCCTCCAGCTCCCAGTTCAGCATGATCACCTTCTCGTCCAGCGCGTCTGGGATCTCCCCTTGCTGTTCCACGAACTCGTTGCCTTGCAGCTGCCACCACAGGGAGCCTATCGATACAACCCGGTCATGATGGAGTTTCTTGGCTGACTTAAGCTGCGCCTCTCTGCTGATCACGACCGCGCCGTCTCCAGGAAGTCCCGCGCAGTTCGTCTCCCCGAAGTAGCTCCACGTTCTCAGCCTGCCATCACCTGGGGACCCAATCTCTACTGATCGTCCTCCCCGGACCACCAGCCGCTGCCCTCGTACTCCATGCGGTCTGGGTTCCTCGTACGCTTCCTTCGATCCAGCGGTACAGGAATCTCCTCCGCCTTGGGCTCGCCTCCTTGACTGGATGCAGCTGCGATTCTCGATGGCTTCGGGGCCTTGGGCCTGGTCGACTTCGGATTGACCTCCCCGAAAACCTCCTCCATCGTCTCGACTCCCAGTCGGTACATCGTGAGTGCCTTTTCCCTGGACAGGATCATGTGCGCTCTCGGTCCCTTCCCCCGCCGGCCTTCACACTGCGTGCACTGGATCGCTGCCGTGACTCCGCCCATGCCCTTCAGCTTCGCAATCGGATGGTCGCACTTGTCCACCTTCTTCTCGAACTGGCCCGTCGTCGGCTTCAGCTCGTACCCCAGAAGCCACTGCCAGTGCTTCCGTACTGACGGCAGAATCTCCCATTGGTGGAACTTGCATACGTTCTGGCCGCACCGGTGGTAGAACTTCCCGTAGTTCTGCAGCTCGTCGTCCTCCATCACCACGCACCTCCTGGCCACCTTGAACTTGCTCTTGTCCAAGTCGTCCGCGCACAGGCAGTATACGGTCTTCCACTCCGGGTAGTACACCGGTCCCTTCTGCGGCGGCTTCGCAACCGTCAGCTCCACCTGGTCGTGGTGAGGCCTCTGGCCGAGGTAGTTCGAGACCTTGAACAGCTCCTCCTCGTCCTCCGAGCTGTCCCACCCGTATTTGATTCCCCCACGGACGGTGGAAAAGATGCCCACAAGCGGCCGCACAGACGCCAAGAGCGCCAAGCTTGCCGCGAGGCGGACCCATCCCTGCCGACGCGGGGTCCGGGCCAGGTCGAGAGCGGTCTGAACCTCCCTCAGATATGGAATTGTCGAAAACATAGCTTGCCGCTGAGGCAGAATCGCTCGCCTGACTCCAATGGCTGCAGCACCGAAATTCCTCGTCTTGATGTCCATGAGCCCCATCCGGGACCTTCCAACCTTCGCTCCTGAACTCTACCACCGAGACTGCCACATGCCCCGTGTCGACCTCCCTCATGGGTACCTCAGAGCCCGCTCTCCTAAGGATCAGCTTCATTTCGTCCAGGCCTACCAGGGCTTTGAACTTCTTAAGTGTCTTTACTGGCAGCAACATTGGAACATTCCCCTCAACGACGGTGAGTTCCAGAAGCCCATGAGCACCTCCGATCCCGAACGGCGTGACCACGACTCCTATCGTTTGAGCTTTTCCACCTACACCTTGAGCTCGGGCTGGCTTGTTGACCCACTTGAACTTTAGTCCCCGTTCCCGTAGAGCACTAGCTAGTTGCTGAAGAGCTGCAGTTCCAATCAGGCCCGATTGGGCCGCGGTGTCCACCAGTGCCTCTCCGTCCCCAAGAGATAGCCCACGCCACGGTTCTGCATCCCCATCCTCAGCTCCTCGTGCATTCCGAGACTCCAGGCCCTGCTGAGGACCTCGCTCGAACTTCCTCTGAACCCGAGACAGGCACCCAAGACCCACGTCACCTTCACTTCCAGGAACTCCCAGCGCGTATACCAGCTCTGGCCGGCCTCCACGAAGTTCCCGAGCTTGGACCCCATGAGGCTCGCTGGAGGCTGCAGAGTCTCGATGATGATGGATGTGGTACCTGTACTTAGACTCGCACTCGAGGTACTCTCCCTCGCTGTCCAGGCCTGCATTCTCGCAAGCCGTCGTCGCGCCGACGAAAAAGCCGGTCTTATGCTTCCCCGCGTTGGCCGCCCCTCTAGCGTCAGGCGGGTTCGTGCACTCCTTTGCCCAGTGGCCGACCTGGCCACACCTCGCACACTTCGTGCGCAACTTGATCACGTCGATGTGCACCTTGACCCTGCGCCCCTGGCCGTCCTTGTACTTCGTGCTGGCGCCGAAGCGCGCCACTGGCGGCGAAGGATAGCCTCCGCCCTTGTCCTTTCCGCTGCCCTTGCCACCCTTGCGGAACCCACGACGATTCTTCTCATCACGCAGAGAGGCCCGCGCGGCCTGGTATGAGGCCAGCGCTGTCGTGACATCGGCCTCCTCATGCACCTCCCACAGGTCATCCTCGAAGACGTACACGTACTCCTCGTCATCTGGGTCGTCCTCCTCGTTCATCGTCGGAAAGCTCTCGGACTCGCCCACTTCGATGCTCTCGTCCTCGCCGAAGAACTGCCTGTCTCCACGATCTGTGGTTACTTTGTCCAGGCGTCGCAACGCCTTGATCACCTCATCCTCCTTGAAGCTGCCAGCCGCCCACGTCTTTATCATGTCCTCGCCCTTGTCCCCGAGCTTCGCGTGCCTCATCATGATGTAGCCCCGGGCTTCTGCTGGCAACTGAACTCCTTCACGCTTCAGCTCGTTGAACCTCGCCACTGCGGCGAGAGTGTACTCCAGCATCGACTGCCCCTTCTCCCTCTGCGAGGTGTACACTGCCTTCTCGAAGGCCCTTGGCATCGTCTGCTCCAGGTACGGCTCGTACGCGTCATCAAGGACCTGCACGATGCGTTCAAGGCCTTCTTCGCCGATGATCTCGTCGACCTCCAGGTCGGCGATGGCCTCCTTCGCACTGCCGCTCAGCTGCCGGGGCAGCTTGGCGCCCCACTTCGCCTTCGGGACGTCCGTCGTGGTACACCATAGCTTCAGCTCCTTCTTCCACTGCTTGTAGGTGCTCTCCGGCTTGTTGCCATCGTATCCGGGCGGCGGTTCCCTGTCACGCCCGCCTCTCCGGGTCCCTTCCTCTTCCTCGTCCTGGTCTCCTCCGGGCATCTCGACTGGCTCGCCGCTGTGGTCCCGTTCGTCACCCAGGTCGTGCTGGACGGTGGTGACGCACTTGTCGCAGGACCAGGAAGCCGGTGGATCTCACCGGCTCCGCTACCACTGAGAGTGGCAACAATGACGTTCTCTGATCTTTTAGGCTGCCACGCGCCACCCTCGATCTCGTCAGGCGTCGGCACTGGCGCAGCACTGTATAACAGACGCTCCAAGCGAGCGTCGGGCGGGTGGGAAAGGAAGGGAGGATACTGGTATATCTGGTGTTGGGAAAAGAGGGGGAAACGGGGTAAGCCAGCCCGAGCAGGATATGGGTGCAGCGGGGCAGGAAGGTGAGCAGGTCACTGGGGCTGAAGGGAAGCGCCGAGGCATAGGACGCACTATGCAAACACACGCGCGTTATTCCCCCCACGGGGTACCGCCTTCGCACGTCTCCGACGGCTCACTTTAGGCATCTCCAAGGATGGGCACTATTTTCCTTAAGGAAGGAGACGTTGTCGGGTGGGCAATTCGCGTCCTTTTGCCTCCGAGCCGAAACCCTTCAGAAAAAGCGGAAAACAGCCTCTCACAGTCGGAGGAAGCCCCAGACGGCCTTACTCTGTCCTTGTATTGGCCTAGCCCCGACTGCGCACTCGCCCCTCACACAAGTCCACAACTGCAAAGTTTGCGCAACAGTTGGAGGTACGCTCAGAAATATGGACGCCACCGGCCCTGCCTACCACAAGCCTCCATGCAAGATCATTGGATCATCGATGTTTGAGCCAGGCCGGCCAAAGAAGGCGCTCATGGGATGCAATGAGCAAATGAGGCGTGAAGGCAAGGCCGCAAAAGAGAATGCAATGCCGCGCGCGATGCTGGAAGAGCCTGTCCGCCATTGTGCTCGTCCCAGCCCGCAATGATCAGACCCGCCATCAAGCGGTCTGCAGTTAGGGGGTTGGCGGAGTAAAGGGGCGAGGTGCACTTCGGGCTAACGCAGTGGGATCTGCACTGCTGACTCCCGCGCAGACCCCCAGGATACACGTCAGGATCTGCCCAGCAGAACCAAGCATTGCCGAACTACCCCATCTGTGGGTCCAACTATCGGATGTTTGCAAACCGCGTTCCTTAAACATTGCCTGCCCACACGGTACGGGGAGCTCATGTTCATGACTACCATGCCAAAGCAGCGGAACATTTCAGAAGCACGCCTGTAGCGTATGGGGTACAACCTGTGTGCAACGGCGTGGCGCGTGCCGCAGATACACACTTGCACAGTGGAGGGTGCAGCATGCTGGCTATCACTGACGCGAGGACTGGCGCTGCACAATGGCTGGCAGAGCAAAGCAGAGACGCGACTAACATACGGCTGGCAATGCAGCCATGAATGTCACGCACCGAGAAAGGAAGCAGCTCAGCCGCCCTTGTTGTTGTAGGCCAGCATCTTGAACAGGTTGGCACAAGACTTGACCTGGAAGGCCAAGTCCCAGAACGAGGTATGTGCACCGCACACTGCTCAATCGAGAGTACCGAATGGCAAAGATCGTACAACACCGTTCACAGATGCCTGTCCACAGTAGTGATCCGACACCAGAAAAAAAACTGGCACAGATGGGCCCGCCCAGTCCCCCGAATGGCATCTGGACGGATCCGATGCCCCCTCCTTGGCGTCCCCTGGGTCTCCTGGACCTCCCAGACAGGCCCGGACGCCCCATGAGGGCATCCATAGGACCCCAAGTCTATATCGGAAGGCTCCAGGAAGCGCCCAAGACGGTCATGAGACGGCTCAACAGGCCCAGAGGCCCCAGTATGGCGCCAAGGTAACCCCTAAAGGCTCTAAGATTAGTTTGCGCAAGGATCCCGAGAGGCGGAATCGTCAAATTCCCATGGGCGTTCGCACATGCTTTGCACCGTCTACGCTTCAGCTCAAGCTTCCAAGAGGTCCCAAGAAAACTACATGAGTCCCCAAGAGGTCCCAGGACCGCCCTGACACCAAGATGGCCTTCAAGACTGCCCCGATATGGCTCCAAGGCGGCCCAAGACCGCCCCAAGGGGGCCCCAGTACATCCCCAGACGGCCCCCAGATGACCCCAAAGGGCCCCAAGAGATCCTAGGAGAGCCCCGGATGGCCTCGGGGTGGCCCCAAGAGGCCCCCCAGAATAGGGGGCAAACAAACCTACCTCGCTTTTGACCACCCTCGCTTCCAAGAGATACCAAGCGATGCCAAACTACGGCCTGTACTGGTCAGGCCGCTTGACGAGGAGGCGCGTGGTATGACTTGGTTTTGCCTGGAAGCGAAAGCGGGGTAGGTAATTCACGCTCTGACAGAAGGCGGCCCCGAGAGAGCCCAAAGACCCCCCAAGAGAACAGAGGGAGCACGGCCGGGAACGTGCGCTCCGCGTGCCGCGGCGGCGGCCCCGGCGACACGCCGTGGCTTGCTGTACTGGATATAGCGCGTGTCGCTGCGCTGCGCGGGGCGTGGGGCCCCGTGAAAAGCTCGAGACGTGGAAGCCTGCAGGACCGGGAAAGGAACTGCTCGGCGCGACTCCTCCTCCTCCTCCTCCTCCTCCTCCTCCTCCTCCTCCTCCTCCTCCTCCTCCTCCTCCTCCTCCTCCTCCTCCTCCTCCTCCTCCTCCTCCTCCTCCTAGAGACGGTGGAGCGACGCGCTAACCAAACACTCCCGACCGCAGCCCCAAGAGAGCCCCAAGACAGAACTGGTCTGCGCTCTCTCGGGCCCTCTCGAGGGGGAGGCGGATGCTGTCCCGCTCTTCGGCCCGACGGGCCGGCGACTTCCATCCTCCACTCTCGAGGCACAGCTCTCCTGCTCCTCCTTCCCTCTCTGCTCTGTGCCTCCCTTCGTCCACCTCCTCCACCCCCCGAACTAGCCACCTATCCTGGCTTTCGAAATTGTCTTCAAGCCGCTCGTCGATCTCCTCACCCAGGAGCGTGAGCCTCCAAAACTCCCCCGTGGCCATCTTACAGAAAGGCCCCGGGGGCCCAGAGGATCCAAGAAGCCCACAGAAGCTTTCGACAAAGCCGCAGACACCCTCAGGATAATCAAATCGACTTCCCAAGACCGCCCCAACATGGCCCCAAGCCCTGCCAGAGACCCCCACGTTAGCTGAAAGGGCCCCAAGAGTCCTTTATCATCCCAAGAATGGATCAAGATTGGATCGCCTCCCAAAACGCCTACAGCTCCAAGAGAGCCCCTGAAAGGCTCTCAGAAGCCCCTCAAGCAAAACTAAACACACGACCATTCGCGAACGAATCAGCACTGCATCCCGACCCCCATGCGCGTATGCACGTCAACGTCATGAGCCCGCGCGCAGCGCATCCCCATCCCACGCACTGCGAACCATACCAAGATTTGAGCGAAGCGAAGCACGCTTCAAGTTTCGAACACACATGTTTCGTTTATGGTTATATATACCTATACGACCACCCGGCGGGTGATAAGGAGGTCGGGGGGGCAGCAGTGGGCAACAGTGGTGACTGTTATTCTGACGATGCCTGTGGCCTGTGGTGCGCAGTCTAGTGAGTAGTGTGATTATGATCGTGAGCGTGATTTGGATTTGGATTTGCAGTGGATTTGATTTGCAGTTGGATTTGCATATCGATGCGCATGCCGATTCGCTTTTCGACCTGCATCTAGATTTGCATGTCGGCATATCGATGTGCATGTCGATGTGTTTTTCGATCTGCTTCTCGATGTGCATGTCGACTTGCCCTGGAAAGCTCGCCGCAGGCGCCGTTTACATTGCGCCTTACGATTTGCATTTGGATGTGCATGTCGATTTGCATTTCGATTTGCTTTTCGGTTTGCATGTCGGTTTGCATGTAGATTTGCATTGCATAGCTCGCCGCAGCCACGGCGGGACACCAGCGGGACACTAGCGGGACACCGCGGGGCACCGTTTGCCGGATGGAGAGACTTTTGGTCCGGCCGCGGCCCGGCCACAGGAGGATTTCGGGACACCAGCGGAACACTAGCGGGACACCGCGCGCCACCGGCCGCCGGAGGAGAATCAGTTAGTCCGGCCGCGGCCCATTTCGGGACACCAGCGGGACACCGGCGGAACACCGCGGGCCACCGGCCGCTGGACGAGAATCATTTGGTCCGGCCGCGGCCCAGCCACAGGAGGATTTCCTTTCGCCAGCCTACGCAGCTTCGCCTCGCCCGCACGCCCGCACGCACGGCACGCACGACACGAACCCGAAACCGAAATCGATTTCCCGGTAGGGTCTTCGTTTCACGTCGGACTCACCCCCCAACCTCCGATAGCAGGGTGTGTGTTATCTGTGTCATTTGTATGTGCGTATACAGGCCCTTGCGGATGCATGTGCACATTTGTATACACAAAGAAAGAAACGTGCAAGCGGTGGGGAGGCTCTGCACAGACAGTGAATGATCAGCCAGCGCAAACTCCAAAAATATCGACTGCTCTACTCTACTCAACTCTGGTCTACTCGACCATACTCTACTGCACCCTGCCCTACACTTCCCTGCCTTAGCCTAATCTAGTCTACCCTAATATACTCGACTTTACTTGTACGATATCCCTAACCCTTGTTACTATATACTCCCACTTTGGGCATCTGCCAGCCGATCGCCGCCGAATTCGGCGGGTCCCATCTTATTTGCGCAAGAATGCAACACCCACAATCCCAATATCAAGCTGTGGTACAAGCGCTTATTATGTTGAAGGAACGAGAGTGGGTGTGAGTAGGCGGGACCATCTGACTCGCTCGCCCTGCTTAACTTGACCCTACTCTAGTCCTACTCTACTCGGATCGACTGTAGTATCCTATATTTTACTCTGCTCTGCATTACTCAACTCTACCCTATTCTATGATACCCGACTCTACTCTACCATCTACCCTACTATAATGTACGGAGCCTGACTCTACCCTATGCTACTCTACCCTGACCGGCCCTCCTAACACAACATACTCTACTCTTCTCTACTACTACTCTACTATTCTCTACTCTACCCTCCTCTACTCTACTCTGCTCTGCTCTATACTGTTCTACTCTGCTCTGCTCTACACTACTCTGCTCGATCACTGGTCCCTGTTGAAGAACAGATCCTCCCCCACACGACTGACAGCCAACTCGTCCCCATGCAAGCACTCAACACCATCCCTGTCACAAAAACCATATACCGTACTCGTTCCTTCATAAGTCTGGAGCACCCGCGGGCGACCAGCGACCACTTTGCATTGGTTTCTGACAGGGACGGCGGAGGTGCCCTCGTATTGATTGCTGAGCGCAGGCCAACCATACCTGTCAAACCAACTATAAAATGCACTATGTCTCCAAATCTGGAGCATGCGCGGGCGCTCCCCGATCACTTTGCAGTGGAGTTTGACACGGGCACCTGGGTGCTAGTTATGTACTGGGAGGGCGGCTGGGAGTGAGCAAGACAACATGCTCTTTGTGGGCAAGAGGCGTATTTACCCTACCCGACCCCACCCTACCCCAACCCACTCTAATCTACTCTACTCCTGCCCGACTCGATTATACTCAACTTCTACTCTACTCCTGATAGACTATACTCTACTCTACTTAACTCTACTCAACTCCATTACATCGCTTCTGCGCTGCTCTACTCGCCTACTGTACTCTACTATACTCTACTCGACTCTACTCAGGTGTTCTCGACTGCGGTTTAATTTCAGCTCTGCTCTACTCGAATATGCTCTATCTACTTTACTCGACTCCAAAGTTCTCTACTCTACTTCTGAGGTTGGCGATTGTTGGACAATTGTTGGGGCGTCATTCGGATAACCACAACAAACATCTGGATAGCAGACGAAGCCGTGCAGATCCATAGTGAGCCACGCGGACAGCAGAGAAAACCATGCGGGTACAGAGGAAGTCATGCAAATAGCAGAGGACACCATGCGGGTACAGAGGAAAACATGCGCAAACATCGACCGCGAGAGTGCAGATGCAGCGGAAGCCACGCGGATAACAGAGGAAACAACGCGGAAACAGAGGAAGCCATGCGGATAGCAGAGGAAACCATGCTGATACAGACGAAGCCATGCGGATATCAGAGAAAACAATGCGGATACAAACGAAACATTGCGCATGGCTTGACCGTGAAACGGCAAACATACAGGGGGAGGGTTACAGTGGACCATTTCTCGACGAATCAAGCTAGGACGCATATAGAGGCAAACCGATTTGGCGACTAACGATGGCGCAGCCATACATGTACGTGTACATGTGTGTGTATATAAGTGTGTCAGCCAGCGTGGACCCCAGACAGTGTGTCCTAGCATACTCTGCGATGTGAGATGTGCGATGTGCCATATATGCAGTGCGTCGCATGCCGTGCCAATCAATGCGGGTCAATCTCCAAAATGCAATCGATGCGGTGCAATCGTAAGTCTCACCACGTTGGAAACACCACGCTATTATATACTATGAGTTGTCCTTCTGTGTGATGCTATGATAAGCTATGCTAAGCTGTGCAGTGCTTTGCTGTGGTAAGCTGTGCTGTGCTGGGCAATGCTATGCGAGTGGACGAGCTCGAGTGGACAAGTGCAAGTGTTGGTGATGGACGGCGGCGACGGGTGGCGACAGACGGCGACGACCTGGCCAGTGACTGGCACTGGGGCCCAGTGCAAACGGTGGCGACGGGCGGCGGCGACAGGCGGCGACGGGAGGCGACGAGCCGGCCAGACTGGCATCGGGGACCAGGTAATTACCTTAGAACACAAGTGAGAACCACTCAGGGCAAGGACTGGTTGGCGAAAATACGAAAAGGAAAATTCAAGGAAAAATGCTCGCAATGCTCGCCCCACCGCACCCCACACCCGCCCGCACTCGAAACAGCGCGTCTGAATCGCCTGCCCGCTGCTCGCCCTCCTCCGCCACTCCTCCATTTCCTCCTCCCCCTCCCCATCATCTTCCTCTTCGCCCCCCTCAGGATCCCACTCCTCCTCCTCCTCCTCCTCCTCCTCCTCCTCCTCCTACTCCTCCTCATCCTCCTCCTCCTCCTCCTCCTCCCCTCCTCCTCCCCCATGACCCCTATTTCCTCCTCCTCATTATCATCATCAGCAGCATCATCATCAACATCATCATCATCATCATCATCATCATCATCATCATCACCATCATCATCACCAACATCAGCATCCTCATCATCAGCAGCAGCATCATCACCATCACCACCATCATCATCATCATCATCATCAGCATCATCATCAGCATCATCAGCATCATCATCATCATCCTCACCCTCATCCTCATCATCAGCATCATCATATTCATCATCATCATCCTCATCATCCTCATCATCATCATCATCATCATCATCATCATCATCATCATCAGCATCATCATCATCATCAGCATCATCATCATCCTCACCCTCATCCTCATCATCAGCATCATCATCTTCATCATCATCCTCCTCATCATCATCATCATCAGCATCATCGTCAGCATCATCATCAGCATCATCATCATCCTCACCCTCATCCTCATCATCAGCATCATCATCTTCATCATCATCATCATCATCCTCATCATCATCATCATCATCATCATCATCATCATCCTCATCGCCATCGCCATCGCCATCGCCATCACCATCACCATCGCCATCACCACCATCATCCTCATCATCACCACC